GTAGCAGAATACAACAGTTACTAATAGGGCATTATGTAAAAATGTAGATGTGTAACTGATGTGATTCTGCAATCTGTATTTGGGGTAAAAATGGGAGTTCATAACCCACTTGAATCTAATGTATGAAATATGATATGTCAAGAGCTTTTTAATGTTTTGAACAACCAATTAAAATAAAAAAGACTTCAAGATCACCCCTATAACTCTGATGGGTAGGTTGATCTGAAACAAAAGGATCCTCAGCTTCAGCTTAAGACCATACAGAAGTTTTTCCAATAATCTGCTTAAATAAATTAATTGAGTAAAAATTAGAGGAGGGAGGTCAAAGTGGTGGTAAAGAGTCTGTTTTGATGTAAATGCTAGGTAAATTTGAAAGACTAGAACATCTTGGAAATTAGATTTGGGTAGATATTAATGTCCAAATGCAGCTGTGTGTACTTTCATTTTTAATGATTAGCTGGCCCACAATAAATATTCATTATGTTAAGTCAATTACTCTCAAGTAATGGCTAAAAATGGACCTACCCCTTCTTGTGAGTCTGCTCCTGAATATGAATCTCCTCACCCACACATTACAAGCCTCAGTCTGCTCCTCAAAGTCTCTAMCTTCATTCAGCAGAGCCCTGAGCACCACATCTTAGCCTCCATTCCATCCTGACTTGTTTCATCCTACAGATAGCCCCCTTCTCAAATTTAGCTACTGTCGCAAAAAAGAAAGTGATTCTAAAATTCAATAGATTAGACAAAGGGAGGGACGTCAGGAATAGGAATGAAATCAATATAATTTTCCTACATATGTATATGAAAATATTTAMGTGAATCCCACCATCATGTAGATCCATAAGAATGGGGTCTTTATAAGAATAAGATATCATCTGTGCTTATATAATTTTATCAAAATGGATTCTACTGTCATGTATAACTAAAAAGCATCAATAAAAAATTTTTAAAAAACACCGACTCTACATAGGGTTTAATGAAAAAGGAGGGGAAAAAAAAGCAAACCAAAGAGTGTTCTATGACTATAATTTAATGAGGGCAATTTTCTCCCACAGCTAGTAAACTGATTACGATGGCAACATCCACAAAAGTCACTTGAAAGAAACACAATCCTTTGCAAGACGATGCTCTAAGATGTCACTCCAAACTCCATTAGAACCTGTTGACTATTTTTAAATGGTGGTAGGTGTGAGGGACAGTATTCTAAAGGATGCAGAACTTAATTAACTTGAGTCAATATCCAAAACAGAGGCTGAACTAGAGATCCTGATGCTATGAATTCACCAAAGGACTATGAGCTTGGCATAGCCAGCCATCAAGCCAAGCTCTGAAATTATTTAACATTGAAGCAATGGTAAGAGAAAATTGGTGGGTGGGGGGCGTGTGAAAGGGAATCTTCTGCTTTAAGAACTGACTCATGCATTTAAAAGGTCAGTATAATTTATATAATCTTAAAGACTCAAGGTGAGCTTGGTTGTTCTGATGGGATGATAGCTCTAGAAAAAAAAGTCAAACAGCAGAAATGCCAACCACATGGTTGGTAACAGCTGTGCTTTCTACAATATATTTTTATAACGTGAAAGAAGGCAGCCAAACAGACATTCCTYACCACTTTACTGAAAGAGTTATATCATCGCATTTAGGTCTTCATAACTCTTCACAAATACATACATCAAATCTCCTCACCTAGAAAGCAATCCTTCATTTCATTAACATAATGGTACAATTTCAAATTCCAATCTGTTGGATTAAAATTAAGGTACAAATCACCTTCATTTAAGAAATAAGTAAGGGRCTGGGGATGTGGCTCAAGCGGTAGCATGCTCGCCTGGCATGCTCGGGGCCCTGGGTTCGATCCTCAGCACCACATAAAATAAAAAAATAAAGATGTGTGTCCACTGAAAACTAAAAATTAAATATTAAAAAAAGAAAAAAATAAGTAAGATTATATAATAAGGTTTCATRCAACTTGCTATTATATTCTCTTACATTAAAATGAGTCATGCATATATTAAAGATAATCCAAAGGCATCATAAACATATTATTTATAGCTGATTAAATATGGTACTTGGCTCAATTATTTAAAAGCAAAACAAAACCTAGTCCAAGGTCCTTGGATTAAGAATGGAAGTCCCCTGGGGCTGGAGTTGTGTCTCAGTGGTAGAGTGCTCGCTTAGCATGCCCGAGGCACTGGATTTGATCCTCAGMACCACATAAATGTAAAATAAAGATATTKTGTCCACCTAAAAAACTAAAATAAAAAATAAAAAAAGATGGAAGTCCCTCATTTTCATACTGGTTTAATTGGAAGAGGGACTCACATCTGACTTCCGCTTACACTCATCTACACTACGTACTTTTTCCAGGATTTGGTGTACTTTGAGGGTTTAGTCAATATTGAGTTCTCCCTCAAAACACACATATTTCATTTTGATGGGTTGAAGGTAGTAAAGCTATAAATCAAAGGTCATCAGAGATCATTTTAGTTAGCAACAAAACGGTCCTACTGAACCAAACCATGCATATTACCAATATGGTACTTAGTATCCTAAATAACAAATATGAGAATGCTACCTAAAAATTTTCCAAGTTTGTTTATTTATTACTCCAAGTTCCAAGTTTATTTATTCAATCCAAGAACAGGACATTACTGTCTTGACCTTAATGTTCTGTTTGGTGAAGACATTTTTGGATAAAATGCCACATGATAAAAACAGGCAAAAGGTGTTTGAGCAAAGCATAGACTATTGATTATGTGCCATCCGCTCTGTAAGTTGTAAGGCAAGTCAGGAGGTTTGACTTTTAGGAAAGCAAGACAGATCCTAATCAGAGAAATACTTTTAAACAAAGTCCCTGAGACAGCAATTTCACTTTAATGAATGTATCTAATAATTGATCATGCTAATAGTTTCTCATAGACTTCSCATGCCTCATCCTTATGTTCTTCTTTATTAAATTATATAAATTTAAGTRATCATAGACACTTGTAAAATATTGCCCCTCCAAAAATAATTTACATTCTTAACACAAAGGAAATGGCCCCTTAATTCAAAAGTTAAAAGTTATGAATGTATACAGGCTGGGAATGTGGCTTGGTGGTAGAAAATGTGCATGCACGAGGCCCTGGGTWAATCCCAGCAACCAACAAACAAAAGCTATGAAGGTATATAGATGCTAGAAAGCAAATAGTATAAAATTATAAACCAAAAATTTAATAGAAGTTTATAGAATTGCATTAGAAGCTCTATACCTGATTGAGGTTCATCATAAATGCCACCAATCTTCTATGCATTTAAATTGAAAACCTTAACATTAYGAAACAGTATTTTATCTTGACACCCCTTTAGGCCCATCTGAAAATAAGTGGCATCTTCAGCCAAAAGACTGCCATTTTCCAAAAAAAAAGTTTAAAAAAAAAAACCTGCCATTTTCATTGATTTCTCAATATTAAACACAAATTGTTACTAATGATGATGGTATGAATTAGCAGTTGGCTAAAAGGCCATGTTTTAAGTTTATATCAAAAAATATAGAATATTTTAAGGAATCTATCCTTTAAAATAAAACACACAAGTCTTTCCCATTTGTGAATGAAGGCCAGGCTCTAAAACTTAAGCACTTTTGTTTGTTCATCACACTACAAACATGCTATAAATAGTTTTGATGGACAGTTTCACCTTTAATTGAACCAACTCTGACCAGAACAGGGATAGGACTTTTGTCTCCTCCCTTCCCTGGGGCCCAGTGAGATGGACGCCAGAGGGATTCCACACAAGCTTTACATGTCTCTGATTTAGACCCAGTTTGTTTTGAAACCATGGGTT